CAAGCCAACCTAAAATAAAGATTGTCAGTTATGTATACAATATCTGTAATTAAAATAGATCTACAAGAACATAAAACAAATTACAGAATTATATAATAAAACAATATACCAATTAAAAATCTCATTCTGTGGTTTAAAACAATCTACTTGTTGCTACTAAAACTCTCTTTTTCTTTACTTCAGTCAACAACTTTGAACAAGCACATTGTTTTCATGAGTTCCACACTCCTTCTTCCCAGTCGCAAATATCCAATCATATCCCTAATTATTTGCTCTGTAGATAATTGCATAGATAATATAAACAACTCCATTTATGGAACAGCAGCAATAAAATGCAATAATCTAAATCTTTATTTCCAACCATAATATTCATCTGTGGTATAGAAGGAATTTGTGAGAAGAAATCTCTTTAGGGTTGCTCTAAATTTACGTAGGTGAGCCAAATGAAAATCTTAAATATCTTTTTGAGTATTATTTATTGTGCACAGGTGGTACAAAGCTGTATAACTTTTCAACATAATCTCCCCCACGCTCAATGCAAATCCTCCAGCGCTTACAAAGTGCATGAATACCTTTAGAAAAGTATTCTTTTGGTAGTCCACGCAACCACTCATGCACCGCGTGGTGTACCTCTTCATCAGAACGGAACGTCTTTCCTCCAATTGCTTCTTTGAGTAGACCAAACATATGGAAATTACTTGGTGCATGGTCTGGTGAGTATGCCAGATGAGGAAGATGCTCATAATGCAGGTCATTGATTGTCGCAAGTCTTGTATGGGCAGTATGGGGCCTTGCATCGTCATGTTGCAAAAGGATACCTGTGGACAGCAATCCATGTCGCTTTGATTTGATTGCAGGCCAAAAATAATTTTTTAGGAGATCTGAGTATGATGCACTGTTAACATTGGTCCCTCTAGGTGTGTAGTGCTCCAAGATGACATCTTTTTCATCCCAAAAGAGAGTCAGCATAACCTTTCCTACTGATGGTTGTGTTTGAAACTTCTTCGGTTTTGGAGATGAGGAATCGCGCCATTTCCTTGCTCTCTCTCTTCGTTTCTGGTTGGTGAAAGTTAACCCAGGTTTCGTCCCCAGTAAAGATTCTTGCAAGGATGTCATCGCCTTCTCGTTCAAAATGCTGCAGAAGTTCTTCACAAGCATCAATACGTCAGTCTTTCAATTCAGGAGTCAGCTGCCATGGCACCCATCTTGCAGACACTTTGTGAAACTGGAGCACATCATACACAATGTGGTGTGCTGAACCATGACTAATGTTTAAACTTGCTGCAAATTCATTCAGTGTCACTCGCCAGTTTTCCCTCACTATGGCTTCAACTGCTGCAGTGTTCTCTGGAGTCACAACTCGATGTGCCTGACCTGGACGAGGAGCATCTTCCACTGAAGTCACACCATTTGCAAACTTCCTACTCCATTCGTACACTGGCTGCAGTGACAAACATGCATCACCATACTGAAACTTCATTCTTCGATATATTCAATAGGTTTCACACCTTCACTACACAAAAACCGAATAATAGAACACTGTTCTTCCCTGGTGCAAGTCTCAAGTGGAGCAGCCATCTTATACTGGTGCTGTGATGGTGTTTGTGCATCTGCACTATGCTGCAACCTACAGGCCATTCTGCATGCTGTTTGTAGCACGGTTACCAACTTGCAGGATAATGGCGTGAAATTTCGATTTTTTATTACAAATTTAAGGTTTTTATTTGACTCACCCTCGTAGAAGTGTCATTTATGAGTTGCTTAAGAACCAAAAGAAGATGATTAAAAAGTTTAATACCAGTATAATTAACTCCTTTCTGAAATATTGATAAATTTGCTACTGGAAAATGTAAATCATAATTAAATCTTATATTAATCCCATGAATATCTGAATTTGTTTTAAAAAAATTCTTTGTTGTTAACAACAAACATAAATAGAGAAAATATATTGAGATTGGAGTGGAAGAATATGTAATTTCTTAAATAAATCACGGCAGGAGTCCCTACTAGTAGAACCTGTAATAATTCCTTTTTTGAATTTTAAATATAATTTTACTACGAGTTAATATGTCCCAAAATATAATACCATATTATATAATTGAGTGGACTAATGAAAAATAAACCATCTTTAATGACTCGAGAGACGAGAGTGATTTCAAGAATCTAATTAAATAAGATGCTCTATTTAATTTAGGTATTATTTGTTTAACGTGGTAATTCCGTGATAAAGTACCATCAATCGTTAATCCTAGAAATTTTGTTATGTATGCTAGAAATCTGTTTATTCTCATATTATATATGAAGATCTGTTACATTAGAGTTTTTAGTTACAAACTGAAGGAAATAAGTTTTTCCCAAATGTAATAATAATAAATTACTATAAAACCATTTATTTATTTGCAGTATGGCAGTGTTTATATTTTTTTCAAACATTTGAATGTCAGGATTGTAATTATCAAGCTAGTATCATCAGGATACAAAGCTGTGGGGTACATTTGTATTTGTGTAGGGTTTCCCTAATTTGGTTGATCATGTCTGAATAGGTGTCATTAATTTATACTGAAAATTGTCTATTTTTAGACATATATTATTTTTCTATGATCCCTTTTTTGCAGTTTTTGAGATGACCAATGTTTCTGCCATGGTCCTATATGTATGTTCATGTTCTAATGTATGCTGAGCATACTCTGAGTTGTGTGTGTTAAATCTGAGAGCTTTTAAGTGTTCTGAGATCTACATCTGACATTAAATACTGTATAAATGTAAGATTAAAGAAAAGCAGGTTTAAAGTATCATGGTTCAAATGTAGCATATAAATAAAAAGGAAAAGTTGTCCTTGTGCTTAAGTTATGAGTATTAAGCACTGTGCCACGAAGGTGCATGGGGAAGTGGACATATAGATTTACATCTTCTTCACCATGGCACCAGTTGGAAGTGAGTGGCCAGCTTCATGCCCTGGCCACTTAACACCCAGGAAAGAGCCCCCGGTTCCCATTGAATCGGAGGCTGGGTGAATCTCAGAGCAAGCCTGGGTTACGTGAAGAAGAAAAAATTCTTGACCCTACTAGGACTCAAACTCCAACCTCTCAGTCATCCAGCCCATAGCCAGTCACCACAGAACTACACTGCCAACATATATACATATACAGAACAAAATTAATATTTCATAGCAGAGCTCCCAACCTGCAGAATATTATGGTGTGTAAACAAGAGTATGTATTTAAAGACTGGAATAATAGGAATCTTTAGCAATTTAAGATGATGAGAAGGGAAACTCATCCTTTTGCAGGTGTAAACATTGAGTCTAAAGATGTAAGCTTGGAGGCTGGACCAGTGGAGCGTCCATTTTACATGTATCTTCGTGTAAGTTTACCAATCTCTGTGAGTCTTCTAGCACTGGTGCTAACCCTGACCACTGTTGCCATCTGTCTCAGGAAAAGTAAGTTGTCACATTTGATAGTAAACATATTGATGTTCTTAACCCTTTCCTGTTTCAACATTTTTTAAATATTCCTAATCCAAAGCAAATGTATCTTGAGGGAAAATGATTCAGTGTATATGTGTTTTATATTTTGAACTATACCATGTGCCATTCATGAAATCAATAAGTCTTGAAATTTGTCAGAGTATTGTACCTTTCCATACACACTCAGATGGAAATTACAGGTTGAATGGAAAAATAATAATATTTATTTCCTCCCTCTCTTTACTTTATGATTCCTTCAGACTATACATTGTGTGTGTGTGTGTTTTTTTAATTTGCTTAGTGGGGGGTGGAGTCCAACTGGGTCCACTCAGCACGGCGGCCGCTAATTCTAATGTAGCCTGCCCCAGGTGATTATGATGATGCAGACTTTGGTGGAATGAAGATTGGCAGGGGAAACCGAAGTACTGGGAGAAAACCTGCCCCAGCGTCACTTTGTCCACCACAAATCCCACTTGACCAAACCCGGGATCGAACCCAGGCCGCCATGGTGGGAAGCCAGCGACTAACTGGTTGAGCTATGGCATGGCTATTGTGTGTGTTTCTTGTTTTTATAATGATAGGCAAAGTGTGATTGTTGTCAGTCTTTCTTCCCTTTTCTCTCACAGTGAATGAGACTTTATTTTGGGATTATATGCCATTCAAAACATCGACAGTGATGGTATCTGTTTGTGTCACTCTTCCAGTGTCTGCACTTTCAACTTAGGATTCTGCCATTGGATCTTAATCTTAAATTATAGAATCCCTATATTCATTACACTAAAGCCAAAAGGTGGCAGATTTGATTATCAATGCATAATCTTTGGATTTTCAATTGACCTAATCCTTCAGGCCTCACTGTGGCCATACTCAGCCTCAAAGAGAAATGAGTACCAGGAACCTTTGGGGGGTTAATGTGTGGCCAACGCATAAGGCTGACAACCTTACTGCTATCTGTGAGCTGATTGTTTAGGAAATGTGTGAGCCTCAGCGTCTCACAATCCAATGGCCCTCCACGACCTGTTACAGGGATAGCGTTACCCTACCTTTTACCTTCCAGTATCTTCATTTATAAAGTTGTCCATGAATTTTAAAACATCTACATCTAAAATATTACATTATTCATGAATGACCAGCCACACTCTACTCTGATGCTATATTTAAGTCAGTTAACCTGGATTATAATTTCTCACAATATCCAGTGTCACTAACTACTCCCAGATGGTAGCACAAGCTTATGTAGTAATATATGCTTGAGAGGACTCTAAGGATGAAGATTAATGTGAACTCTTAAGATACTGAAAATGTTACAATTTGTCAAGTACTAGGAACATGTTAAAAGAATTTCCTGTAGCAACCCTGTATCAACAATAAAGTTGTCCACATGAAGGAATGGAGATATAACTCCACTCATTCTTAACTTTGTCCATAGTTAGAGGTCAGCTGTCAGCCTTGTTCCATGGCCCATTTTACCTTGAGAGGAAGCACCCTGAATATTCATTGGAGAGGAGGCTGGTTAGGATCCAATGGTAACAGGATTACATGAATCAAAGCCCAGTCATCCAACTTATAAACCGCAGTTGTACTGAATCCCTTCTGACTCTTCCAACAATTTACTAAGTGTAATTGTTACCTCTGTACTTACAATTATAAATCAGGGAGGTTTTGAAACCACTGGAAAAATAATTTGAATACTATTTGTTGCAGAGCCAGCAAACTGTAATGATTCTGCTCTGCCCCCAGGAGATAGGAATACCCCTGTCAAACCAGAGTATTACAGTGTGTTGCCTAAACATGATGGGGAACCTCAGTTGCCTGGTACTGCCATTCAGCCTGACGATATACCTGGTAAGTTGTCTATTTGTGTGCTGGCAGGGTTGGCTGGCTACTGGAGTTACGGCAGACCTCTGTCAGTTTAGGCTCAGTACAGCAGACTGTGCCCTATTTCTAGTAGTATTTGCTACCGTGGCAGTCTGGTCACCTGAATGGTCATATGTCTGACCCCTCCAAGTTTAAGCCTCTTGCACTTTCTGTGTCGGGCTTCGCTTTGTCCGATGTTGCGAACATTCTCATTATCATGATTTTGTATGACTTCCGCTTATTGCCTGCATAATTTTGTTATATAGTCTTATATATATGGAATTTTGAATGCCATGTGCAAATTGGGGACCGGTGTGCGCCTTGGAAAATCGCCAATGGTGTGGAGAACCTTGCCCCTCAATGGTGTCTCTACTTTGACGTAGTGGAGGGGCTTGCATGGTCAAATGACCCTGAGAGCTATGCCGGCGGTAGCATAGCTACTGGTAGGGCCACCCATGCTGGACAGGTTGAAGGTGATGACCCAGACTAAAAGAGATACCCTGGCCCTCCAGGTTGGGGGTTGGGCGAGAGGCTGACGACCTCTCACCGTAAAAAAATATGAATGTCTCAAAACCTGGAATCAAGCCTCAGAAACCTCAACAGAATGGAAGACGACTTTTGGCAAAGAATATGGATTTCTCTCTAGGTACATGGAATGTGAAAACCCTCAATAAACCGGGTGCCATGAAATCGGTACTAGAACAGATAGATCAGTACAATATGAAAATCACGGCCATACAGGAAATTAGATGGCTGGGTAAAGGAATCATGGACTTAAAGAAACATACTATATGTTACAGTGGTAAAGCAGAAGGCAATAAGGAATTTGGTGTAGCCTTTGTAATAGAATGAGTATTTAAAAGCGCAATAATAGACTTTAAACCAATAAGTGAAAGAATTTGCACTTTGAGAATTAGAACAAAATTTTTCAATATGACGTTGATGAACATGCATGCACCTACAGAAGAAAAAGAGGAGGAGGTCAAAGACTATTTCTATCAACAAATGGAAGAGACATATGATTCAATACCAAGTAATGACATAAAGGTTATTTTAGGGGATCTTAATGCCAAAATAGGTAAAGAGAAGGAACACAGAGGAGTAATTGGGTCAGAAAGTTTACATGATACAACCAACCATAATGGAATAAAATTAATAGATTTTGCAGAATGTAAGAACTTGATTATCAGGTCTGCATACTTCCCGCACAAAAATATACATAAAAGGACATGGGCAGCACCGAATGGGGTAACCTTCAATCAAACAGATCATGTCCTCATAGAGAAGCAATTTGCGATGGATATCCTGGACGTAAGAACATTAAGAGGGGCCAACTGTGATAGTGATCATTACTTAGTACAGGTTAAATATAGATGTAAAATAAGTTGTCAAAGATCTAAGCAGTATGAGAAATGTAAGAAATTTAATATTGACAAGATTACGGAGAGTGATAAGAGAGAAGCATTTCAAAATAAAATTAAAGAAATTAATGACAATAGAGCAAATAAAGAAGTAATGGTAGAAGGGATATGGGTAGATTTTAAAACCGCAATAATTACAGAAGCTGAGAAGACTCTGGGATATCAAGAGAAACAGGATAATAGAGAGTGGTTCGATGAGGAATATAGGGAGAGTATAAACCTCAAGAATAAGAAATATATGGAATATATGGAAAGACCAACAAGAGCAAGGAATGAGGTGTATAAAGAAGTAAGAAGGAAAGCAGATAAGATTTGCAGGAAAAAGTAACGGACCTTTCTAAATGAGCAATTACTGCAACTGGAAGAAGACTTCAAAAATAACAAAACAAAAAATGCCTTTGGTCGAATCAAATATATGAAAGAAGCTTTCAAACCAAAAACAGAATTTATCAAAGACAAAAAAAGGACTTCTAATAAATAATAAAACAGAGATTATGAATACATGGAACATATTTTGAACAATTATTAAATCAAAATCAGAATATGGAAGATAACGAGGACATTGAAGAAGAAAATACAGATGATGGAGAAGGGGAAGAGGAAGAGATAATAGAGCCTTCAACAAAGGAAGAAGTGGAAGAAGCATTAAAGGAACAAAAACTAAATAAAGCACCAGGAGGAGATAACATACCAGCAGAATTATTGAAGGCAGGAGGACAAGAAGGAATAACAGCACTCCACAGAATTATAAATAAAGTGTGGGAAGAAGAAAAGATACCAGAAGATGTCCCATATTTAAAAAAGGGGATAAATTAACATGTAGTAACTATAGATGTATTTCATTACTACTGACAGCATATAAAATTTTAACAAGAATACTAAAAATGAGACTGGATCCATATATAGAAAAAATAATAGGGGAATATGAATCAGGATTTCAACCCAATAGGCCAACAATAGACAATTTATTCACCCTGAGACAAATAACGGAGAAATTCTGGGAATTTAATATAGATATTTACCTATGCTTCATAGATTTTAAACAAGCATATGATACAATAATAAGGAAGAAATTAAGGATGATTATGTCCACTTTTGGTATTCCAACAAAACTAAGTAGAATAATTAACTTAACCATGGCAGAAACAATCAATCAAGTTAAAATCCAGAACCCGTTAACAGAATGCTTTAAGACAAATCAAGGATTAAAACAGGGAGACGGTTTGGCACCATCACTATTTAATTTGGTATTGGAATATATAGTGAAGAAATGTAATGTAGACACAAGGAACACAAAGCTTATAAACAAACGCAAATAATGGCATATGCGGATGAAATTATTATAGTATCGAGATCCCTAAGAGCAATGAAGGAGACATATAGAGAAATAAAAACCATACCAAAAACAACTGGTTTAGAGGTGAATGTAAATAAAACTAAAATGCTGATGCAATCCAGAAGGAATCCAAGGCAAACTGGAGAAATTAACATGGAAGGGGATGGGATAGAAATAGTTGAAGACTTCATATATTTAGGATCGAAATTCCATAAAGATGGAGAGGAAAATCATGAAATAACAAGAACAATAAAACTAGCAAATAATGCATATTTCTCGTTACTATCAGTTTTTAGATCAAAGGATATACACCGAGCGATTGAAACAAAAATATATAAAACAATGATAAGACCGGTGCTTGTTATGGATGTGAGGGTTGGACGCTAAACAAGAAAGAGGAATCAGTCATCAATTCTTTCGAGAGGAAAATCCTAAGACGAATTTATGGACCAATAAAAGAGAATGGGATATGGAGAATAAGATATAATAAAGAGTTATACAAATTATATAAGGAGCCAGAGATCTCAGTGACGATAAAGCATAAAAGATTGCAATGGGCTGGGCATGTACAGAGAATGAATAAGGAGTGTATCCCAAAGAAAATATTATACAGTACAATAGGTGGTAGGAGACGTGCTGGGAAAACAAGAACTAGATGGATTGATGTGGTGGAAGAAGATGCAAAGAAGTTAATGGGCATAAGGAACTGGAAGAGAGCAGCGCAGGATAGAGAGGAATGGAGAGGCTTGATAAGGGAGGCCAAGGCCTGACATCGGGCTGTTGCGCCATAGAAGAAGAAGTGGAGAACCTTGTTTTGCAGGCACCGCAGTTTCACTAGATGGGTGTTTGCTGCAAACTCCCAGGTGGGACTAGCATAAGTCATTACAGATCTAATAAGAGCTTTATGGAGGGTCAGTTTAATGTTAGCGCTCAATCGCTCACTTTTGAATAGGGAATATACTCTAATGAAGGTTCTGAAGGCCTTGGCTTCGATCATTTCTATGTGCAATCTCCATGTAACTCTCTTATCGAAGATTACACCTAGATATTTTGCACTATTTACAAATGGAATGTTTCTTCCATTTAGAGTAAGACAAAACTCAGGCGGTCGATGACCACAAGAGAAGTAGACCCCCTGAGTTTTATCTTCATTAATTTTTATATTCCATTGCTCACACCAGGTGTCCATTGAGCTGAGACTGCGCTTGCGTTTTCTAACAATAAAACCCTCCTTGTGATCTGTCACATACAGGCAGGTGTCATCCGCAAAAAGGGCCAAGTGAACACCATGATTTTGAGGGGGCATCATTTATGTACAAATTGAAAAGAGTATAGGAAAGGACCGAACCTTGTGGCACCCTTGCTTGCATTTCCTTTGGTGTTGACATTTTGCCTTCAACCGAAACCCGAATTTACATTTAGAGAGAAAGGACCCAATAAGTTTGGTCAAATTGTTCGAGAATTCCAATTTTGATAACTTATGCAGCAAGTCTGAGTTCCAAGTGGTATCAAAGGATTTTTCAATGTCCAAGAACACTGCAGCCATAGACATATTATTATTGAAATTAAGGGTCACCTGGTCCGCCAGCGTCATATACTGCAATGTCGTGCTGTGACGTACATAAAAACCAAACTGGCTTCCGTTGAGCAGGCCTCCTTATTTTGAATTCTGAGGGAATTTCGGGTCTTTACCGGGTTTAGGTAAAGTTATACTTTTGCTTCCTTCCAAGTATTAGGAAAATGAGAACGCCAAAAACAGTGATTGAATAGGTGAGTTAGGTGAACCAATGGTCTCCTTGGAAGGTGTCTGAGGCATTCATTTGGGATGCTGTCAGTTCCGCAAGTCTTTTTTATTTCAGGGATTTTATTAATTTCTGTACATCACATGGTCTGATCCTTTGATGGGGGGTTGTCCTCTACGGTTTCCAGCAGAGCTTGTACTCTAGCCTCCATCCACCATTCATGGTTATCATCGCACAGATCATGAGGGGTGAACAGAATTTCCAGTCGGCTATTGCGTTCGCTTTTTCGGAAGGGTAAAATTTAAGGCCAGAAAACCCATGAATAGCAATTGGTGTCCTTGGTCCGTCTCTCTTTAAGAAAGATTTCGCAATGGCCCGTGTTCCCTGAGGTGTGACTTCAGCGTTACCTATTTTTGTTTCCCACCGTTCAAGTGGCTTTTTACGGGTCAGTCACCTGATTGATTTTGTGACTGCCGTTTTACACGCTGGATCCCTGGTTTCTTGCCACAACTTTTGTAGCTTCTTCTTATGTTTTATCAAACGATCTAAATCAGGAAGATTGTTATTTATGTCTGAAAGTGTAACTTTACTTGTGGACAACCTATATGCTGCAAAGTCACGTGCCACTTTATCAGCTTCTACCCCTGACTTAATTTCTAGTTTAGGTGGTATTAACTCAGAAGTGAGCCTTTGAAATCGCTCAAAATCTGTAAATTTTTCAATGGGTTCTAGGAGATTCCTAATTTTTATGTGATCCAGTATGTGGAATACTATTGGTAGGTGATCTGAATCCAGAATATCAGAGGCGATGACATCTGACACTCTGATAGTTTGGTGAACCACAATGTCCAGCACGTCACCATTTCCCACAGGAGAGTAGTGAGTGGGGCACTGTGGTGCCGAAATTTCGAATTCACTCATATCAAATAAGTCCATGAGTTTCTCGCCTGATGGGTTTGAAATTCTGCTGTTCTAAAATGGGTGTTTAGCTTTCAAATTACCTGCCAGAATAGACGTGAAAAGTAGTAAAGATAAGCAGCGGCACGCACACAGGGAGCCTACACAGAATAACACCTGTACAATGCTGAAAACAATAAGTAGCCACTGCAGCACTATAGACGTGGGGCGAGTAATCCTGAGAATTTTAAATTTTGGAAAAAATTTAAAAGGAATTTTCTAAAATTGGAAATGAAGATTTTAAAAGGGCCAGTTCATGAATGTCAAAATTGACGTGTGTGGGTGACAAAGATGATGTACAAATCAGACAAATATCAGCGAAGTAGATCCTGTTAGCCAATTGGGAAGACCTGTGTGTTTTTAAATTTTAAACTGGGTGCAGTGTAACAGCTACGTGAGTGTATACACGTGATGATGGCCATTTGCGGCTGAAACATGTAGTGTGGAAGAAAGCAAAATGAAAGACCTACAATAAATTGTTGCACTTAGGATGGAATTTATATCATATATCGTATAGAGTGTAGCAGGATGCTTAAATATAATATTGTTTCATGAGATTTAATACAGCTTTTGTAATGGCCATTATTTTGTCCTCCTCGGACACTGCACCACTGACCTCTGTCATGATCTGCTGTACTACAGTCACTACTCTCAACATATTGTCGAGAGACTGACCGTTTACATTAGTAGCCTGAACTCACTGACCTGTTTCATTCTGCAGTGCAGGGGCCAGTAAAATCTGCTTTCTTGCTGCAGGTGTAGAAGCCACCAGAACATGGTTTTCCTGAGGGTGCTGTTGTTGCTGCTGTACTGCGCTGCCTCAGAGTGCCACCACAAAGGAGACACCTGGGGTGGTGATGTTTGATGAGAACACCCTCCCCGTGGTAGTTTTGGGTGCTCTCTTTGTCTTCCTCTTTTGCTGCTCCTCCTTGGTATGTCTGCAGCCCCAATAATTGGTGGGATGCGGTTTGTCTCCCTCCACCAATCGGCAGTTGCAAAATGCTGGAGTGGAGGCAGAGTTTCCCTTATCTGGGCACTCCTTGTGTAGGTGGCCACTCTCCACACCACAAACAACGTGGGGGGTGGGGGTTGCTTGCAGTTTCCCAAATGTGGCCGAACTGCTGACAGTTTTAGCACTGCGTGAGCCTGCTTTGTGCTTTGTACACCTCTATCTTGATGGCGATGTGGCAGAGGTTAGTCAGTTGGAAGAGTTCTTGGGATTCTCCGTTCTGGATAATATGACAAGGAATAAGGGAGGGTTAATGGTACCAGTTCCTTCTGGAGGAGTCCAACGACTGGTTGTAATTTGTTTGATGCTAATGATGTGAATCCCCAGACTCACCAACCGTCGGAGATATCCTCAGCTGGATTATTCTGAGGGAGGTGATGGATGACTGCTTTGATTAGTTTTTCAGATTTGGGGTAATAGGTAAAGTATGAGAGATTGTTACTCTCTAGAAATTATTTGTTGGTACTGGATTCATCTATCTTAGAATGGTCAAGTGGTAGGCTCTTGTATACACAGTACTAAACCTTCTGTGGCGAATTTCTTGACCAGCTTAGTGACTACTAGCTGCTCCAGGTAGCTATTTGAGTTCATGGATGAATCCAGTCATTGTATTTTTATAACCTTTTTCTTTTCAAAAGGCTTGCTAAATTTTCTTTTTCAGAGTATGATGATGACATTTATCCATATGCCACGTTTCAAGCTTGGAAACCTAGTCAAGTGTCAAGTCAGAGGGGCTTCCAGACTTTCATATATCAGGGGTCTGATCCTCCTGGTGTAAACAGTTATGCTCCAGGGGAGGTGAGTGAAGGATGAATTTTGGCTCCCATAAAGTCAGACTCTTGTTCATGACATGTGTTGCTGGTGAGTAGTACTGGGATGTCTGTTTCTATCAAAGAGCACATAAATATGTTTTAGGATAAATATAATGCCTTAATATTTAGTTAAGTATATCACATCAGAATTTATCATTCGGTTTATCCTCTACAATACCAAGGTCATTTGTCTTAACAGTGAAGCACTTTCTTGCAGATGGAATGAGGTACCTCAGTGTGATCTCAAATGGATGATTTAATTTGCTTACTATGGCGAGGAGGGAAATGGTCTGTGATTCACATATAGGTAGATGCTAGGTCACATTGTTTCATATTCATTATTTTTAATCATCAGGTTTCTCATTCAGATCCAAACATTATCTATAGTTGAGCAGAATAAGGAAAAATAATTAATTCTGTAAAATATATTTAGGCTTCCTCCCTAGGAAGAGGTCAGGACAGGCAATATATTCAGGTCTATGAAAGGAATGTGGAAACATCATTACATCGTTTCTCTGTAAGAAAACATGGGTCAGATTTATCGTGCAGTCAAGATGCAATAAGCAAAAGCAATGTTAAATGTAAATAGCCTTGTTTATATGTTGCATTGCTTCTATATCTTAGTGATTTACACAGCTACAGGTTATAGGTATGCCTAAATAACTCCAAGGAACACAGCTTTTGAGAAACTTAACTGAGTAGTCACTCAGCTATTCAGGAAAATCTCCACCCTTAATGAAACATGAATTCCGTTACCTTGTTCACCTGAGCCATACAAAGCCAGTCTACATCCTGAGATTCGTATTTCCTTAAAATCCACATATGCCTAATTCTCCCAGGTGTTCTCTCCCCTATATGTAATTTAAAATCCATTTTTTCTATATTTTTTATATGTAAAGGAATCCATAAAAATCTGAGGCCCTCTGTCACATTTTGTAAGATGATAGCTTTTTGCAGTGAAGGGGATGTTAGTCCAATCAAACTCCCAAGCTGACAGAACCACTTATTTCACCTGTACATGACTGCTTATTCAGTGTGTTCATTTATTTTAATTGCAGTTCATTAAAAGCATTATGTAACAACTCAAAGGGACTGCAATTCAACCCTGCAAGTGTTGCTAACTGAAGTGTGTGTGACTAGCAGTACTGTTTCTACAGGTTGAAGGTGATAAGTATTCACATGTTCGTCAGTCAGTGCATTCTGATGTTGAAGAATACGACTCCCCTGGTTCAGATTCAGATGGACGTGTGGAAGACAAACCTGTCATATTTCAATCAGCTTATCTGCGAAGTAACATACGACATAGTAAGTTCTTTTCTTACTATTGGCTGCTTTAGTTACACATAGTGCATAGTGTGTAGTTAAATAAAACGGCTCTTTTTTTGGTTTAAATTGTTTTCTCCTTATACCACAATGAAGGGTGTTTAAAAAATACATGGCATAACTTCAGGAATGCATAGTTTCTGAGTTTTTAAGGTCTGTCTATGACACTCAGCTCTTCACATTACTTTACAGTAAATGTTCCATATGTCCACCTCCTGCCTGAATACAGGCCTCAGCTCAATGTCTCATTGCCACCCAAAGATGATCCCAAATTCCTGGCATGCTGCATATTGTCTGAAAACCTGCCAAAATTCAATTTCAGAGAGTTTCTACATCATCCACTGGAGATGAATACACCAGCAATTTTAAATGGACTCACAAGTAGAAATCCAGTGGATTTAAATCAAGTGAGGATGGAAGCCAGGCAATTGGTCCACCTCTACCTATCCACCGACCAAGAAACTTTTGATTTGGGTACATGCGAACAACGAGAATGAAATGTGCTATCACGCCTGAAGTGCAATTCTTGATGAATGAGCAGTGTCACATTGGCCAAAAAATCAGGCATGTTGTTTTCCAAGAAAGCTTTGTAATTCCACCCTGTAAGCCTGTTTGGAAGTATGTGGGGTCTGAATAAATTATCACCACAAATACCAGCCCAGATGTTGATGGAGAACCGATGCTGGTGATGTGATGGAAGAATTGCATGTGGATTTTCATCTGCCCACAGATGCTGATTGTGAAAATTCTTGATTCCATCTCTTGTGAACTGTATAAATATCACGAAGGCAGGGAAGTTAGGATTTGTACCACATTGTTGTAAGAACCACAGGAAGAACATTACTCACACAAGGTAATCTTGCAGTGACAAGGCCTGTACATGCCATAGATGGTAGAGATACAGCTATTGTTCTCGCAACACTCTCCGGACAGTTGAATGAGTGACGCTGCTTGCATTGATACCCTTTGTGTGCTGATTCCAGGAGTTACAGTCAAAACATCCAGAACATCCTCCTGTACTTCAGGAGTCATAGATCTTGGTCATCCCTTGTTGGTGACAAGAGGTGCAAAATTCCCATGTCCACAAAGGCTGCAGTGGATAGCTACAAGTGTTTCTGTATCTGGACATTTTCATCCTGAATACCTTTCTGGGTACAAACGATGAGCCACCACAGCATTACCATCTGCTAAACTGTGTACAAGAGGTGCAAAATTCCCATGTCCACAAAGGCTGCAATGGATACTTGCAAGTGTTTCTGTATCTGGACATTTTCATCCTGAATACCTTTCTGGGTACACACGATGAGCCACCACAGCATTACCATCTGCTAAACTGTGTACGAAACACACATTGGCAGGCCCTTCACTTGAGTACATTCTCTCAACAGCTTGCAGTCACCACACACATAACACACAATTACTGTATGCTTCTTCTATTAAGATTTGGAAAATTTCCAAGGCTGTGTCAGACTGATACCATGACTGTCTTAGTGTAGTGAATGGTGGAAACCATCTGCAGGAGTTACGAAATTCAGTTTATCATTCAGCGGCTTTAGAATGCCTTAACTTAGAAACTATGCATTTCCAGACCAGTGTTCATGTAAATAGTTTTTGTTATCTACATATGAGGAACTTATTCCTGAACTTATACAATGTATTTTTGAAACACCCTGTATTGAATGTTTTCAAAATGAGTTTATTCACATTTTCATCTAAAGGACTCTTTATATTCCCAGTGGAGAATAAAATATATTTTCACTTTCTACTAAAATGAAGTTTAAATTGTGTAATTGAATATGAACTTGTTTTCCATTTACTAAACTAAGGACTCAGATTTGTGGTTCTGACTGCATGGTGATGTTTAGATTTTGATGTTCTCACAGCAGTGGTTATGAAGAGTTCTGTCTTCTGGGATATAACATCATGTAGTCTGTTAAAAGTCAACCTGCATTTCAGAGGAACATGTCACCTCCATCTTCAGGGTTGAACTTTTAAGCCATGCAAGAAGAAACATGATGCAGACAGCAGCAGCGCTAAGATGGAGGTGACAAAGTCCTTTAAAACTTCAGCTGGCTTTCAAAGGACCACACAGCAATATATTCCAGAAGACAGAACTCTACATGGTGATGATTTGCATCATTTTTCCAAGTTAGGACAGCAGACCGCTTATGTTTACCCTTAACTAACACCAGAAGATATTCTTCTTTGTGAACTGGATAGGATAGTCTCTGCATTTATGGAACTTGCAGGTTCATTAACATGTTCACAGGAGACCACTACTATAATACCCTGTTGTGGCCCATATGAGATGAGTTCATATACTCACATGCTATTTCTTAAGATCTGTGGGGCTCTTTTTGTGTAGTCTTTGTCATTACTCCTATGACAACCCACTTCTTCGGAACAATTTGTTGGCCCTGAAAAGGACCGTGGTTGCTGAGATGATTGACCGGTGAGGTAGCGCGGCGCGCGCCGGTGAGGAGAAAGGCTGGTTGCGGTGAATGGCTAGTGAAAAGGCTAGTCGTTGAGCGCGGTCGTAGGAGCCATGAGGCAGTGGCTACGCCAGATGCCTAGTGAGTCAGACCGTAACACGACCACCGGCGAGTCCAGGCGCGGTGCCCCAGTGAGTCGGGTGTGAGAGCGCTGGAGGGCCGAGGCAGTCGTGCCTGGCGCAGCCTGCCGATGCCTCTGAAGACCGAGCGCTGGCGACGAAGCCTGCTGGCTGTTGTTGCTTGGTGTGGCTTGATAGTAGACTGCAGTCGGACTGAAGTGAACTGAATAACTCGGCTCTGGAGTCGCTCCTTTTTATACGCTGGTCGGTGGGGCGGAGCCAAACTCGAAAGTGAGGAGAAAGAATTGATTGGCTAGCGCGCGTAATGGTGTAGACGCGGGCTAGCGCCGAGCGTAGTATAAATGCGATCGTTTGAAGCAATCTGATTGGTTAGCGCGCGTGATGGTGAAAAGTGATGTGAAGAGCGAGCGTTGCAGAAATGCGTGATAATGTGGGATGTTCCCACAGATCCATGTCAGTACTGGGGCAAACAGTAGCATAGTTGGTTGAGGCATTATGCTACAAGCAGGAATGTCACAGGGTTGAGTCCCAACGAGGTGGATTTCTTCAATTTACCTAATCCTTCCAGCTGCACTATGGGTCTGGGGTCGACTCAGCCTCTAACAGAAATGAGTATCAGGAATCTTGGGGGGGGGGGTAAAGGCGGCCGGCATGTAAGGCTGACAACCTTACCGCCATCTGTGAGGCGACTGTCTAGAGAAAATGTGGGAGCCTCGACATCTCACAGCCTTGTGGGCTTCAAAGCCTGCTGCAGGCATAGCTTTACTATTAGCTTTATCATTGTATTATAATGCTTACATCTATACTTCATTCTTCCAAGTGATCTCTTCTCTTCAGAGTTTCATGAATTTTTTATATATTTATTAAGTGTAGTCAGTATAGCAACTGGCTACAGGCTGGATGATCAAAGGTTTGGGGTTTTAGTCCTGGTGGGGTCAAGAATTTTGTCTTCTCCACAGCGTCCAGACCAGCTCTGGGGCCTACCCAGCCTCCTATCCAATGGGTACTAGGAGCTCTTTTCTCCAGGGGTTGAAGCTGACCACTTACCTCCAGCTATTGCTGAGGTCAAGAAAATGTGGATCTATACATCCACTCCCCCATATGCCTTAATGGTGTAGTGCTTAAGTAGTTGAGCACAGGGACGATTTTGCCTTTTTACCTCTCCTATCCATTTCCATATCTTACCATAGATGAAGATATTTGAGTTTCTCACAGCAGTGAATATCAAGATTTTGTGTCTTTTTATGCATGTGATACCAATTTTATGGTAGAAGAGTCACTTTTCTCCCCTGAAGATGAAGGCAACTAGTCCCTCCAAAAGAATTGTATATATCTATCAAAGTAAATGGCACCACATCCCAGAATACCATAACCTTAAGGATGAAATAAATTTGTATTTAATATTTTAGGCCGTCTTGTCAGTGTTCTTGAATCATCAACTTCAAATGAAACTTCTCCAATTCCAGATAGAAGACTTCAGCCACATAAAAACAGCATCAAGTAAGCATTTGCAGTATAATTCCACTGATAATTACTGTTTTGAGATAAGTAACTGACACCAACGAAATGTTCTTTGTGACAAGGTGATGGTTGCTCAGTTGGTCAAGAAATTTCCAACTATTTATGGAAACTGAATGTTAATTATAATGTTCTCGAGAACTTGTCAGTTGACCATATTCCTCCAAGATTCATCAAAATATTTTCCTTTAGTCTATGCCAAGATCTCCCAAATGTCCTCATCCTTTCCTGTATTCTAACCAAATTGTGCATCCAAATCTTATCTCTACATGTGTACTATGTTCCCTGCCAAATCCATCCTTCTTGGTTTCATCATCTTGGGAACATGAATGGAACAGATGACTTTGGTGGCATACTTTTAATCTGACTCAAAACAGGCTCCAGTGACATGTTTCTGTGAACAATGGAATGAGGTCTTGGGTCCATAAAAATCAAGGAATTTTTTTAATAAAGCTGAGCGACTTTTAGCTTCTCAAGAAGGTTCATGCTTCTCTTTAAGTGCTCAGACATTAATTACTGTATAGAGCTTTTGTCTGAAATATAGAATGTAACTGTGTCCAAATGTTCCAGAAGTCACTCATCAAAGAAGAAGTTTGCTGGCAAAGCCTGTGGTGAAACAAAAGAAACAGCCTTTACTTTCCCAACACCAACACCAAATCATACTCCAACTAGAACACCATCTGGACAGCGGGAAGAACTGAGTGAAGCAGAATGTGATCGCGGTTCTTTTAGGACTCCTCTACATTACAGGGTGTAAGCCCTTGTATGAAATATCCCAATATATAGGGGTTAGGAAAACACTGTGGCCTCATAATAATGTGTATGTGTGTTTCATATGTAATTATTTCCAAGATATATTTGTAAAAATATATTAATATAATAGAAATATTGCCTACAAGTTCTTCAGTCCTAGTGAATATTATATAGAATGTCAATAGATTATGCAAATATTTTATGTTTTTATATATGTCTTATTTCTTATTATACTTATTTTCTGAACTTACTGTATATCCTCTATAACATTTAACAGATCTGAGATTAGTGCAGTTACAAAAACTGCTAAGGATGTGGGCTTAAGTATCCTGCAGTGAACACAATATTGTTAAGTTTACAACACTGGGTTATGAATCACATTGGCAAGTGGCAAAATGGAGAGACAATCATTGAGATTTCCAGAATTAATTTCTGGATTAACATGAGTTTTACCTAAAATTAGATTAATTGCAGTTATTTTCTTTAATTAGAGATATCATGTATCTCCTGTAATATAAGAACCAAGTAACTAACTCCACAGAATAGCATCCTTCTTGAGAATCTACGAGGTAAGAGTAACTCAGGTATTCAAGAAATTCAACACATTTCTGGAACCTGAAAGTTCATTACTGTGTTCACAAGAGGTATCACTGGAGTACACAATAAAAGTTTATGACCTTATGCACTGGAAGAGAATGAGCCAGATAAATAAAACAATATTAAAATGTAATCATGAGCCTTAAAAATGAGGCACCAAAATGCAAAAATTTGAAATTAGACAATTTATAAACATATTACACATTTATTCCATATATATAATGTACGAGTATATCTTCAAAGGTGAATTTTATAGCTCATTCATTGTCTCTATGGGCCAAACATTTTTGTGTGTCTAAACACATGTCTGTTTGATAGTGCTGTTATTTGAGAAACCATAGTTGGGTGATAAAATGTGTGCCTTCAGGCTTGAGTATTCTGGCTGTGTGAAACAATGTGAGCTAGCATTATATGCTGTAAAACAAATCATGAAGATGGTGGTACGAAAATTGTGTAATGATGTTTTTTCTTAGAATTGCAGTGAAAAAAACATTTTCTCTGTCTGTCTGTTATTACAATAATTAATTCTGGGCTGTGTGCAAACATTTTGACCAGTCAACTGTATGTAATGAATCACAGAACGTTAACTGATTTTTTGGTTACATTTTCCTTGATGCTTCAAGATCAATAGGAAATTTATTTTTACTGATATGTGTATAGGAAATTTATTTTTACTGATGCAGTTACTGAGACTCATATCTCACCAATTCTGGATAGTCTGAATATCATCATAGTATTCCTGCTAGTCCTAGCAATGTTGTATAACACTCAGGATTACTGAACTTAGGACTCATACATTGTCTGATATTCTAAAGAACAGACCCAACAGAATAGGTGCCTCCCACCCTTTCACTTAGGGATGGGAAGAGATATAGTTTCTGAAATGTATTTTTTATAATACCAGGCAATGAACAAAGTAAAAAAACTCAGTAAACCCAAGTCTTATCTGGCCTTCAGAAATGTAGGAGGGCCAGAAATCTGGCCAAATATATATATTTTTAACTGGTGGCTTAGCAGTTATGACTGCATAGGATGGAAACTGACTGCTTCATTTGAATGGCTAGCATGGCTTGTGTACGCTTGTTTCTCCATGATTATTGTGGTTATGTATGGCCGCCTTTTCTTGAAAGACATGTCATAAAAGTACACCATCAATAATGGAACAGTGATATAAAAGGCACCTAAAATACATATTTTTTCACTAAGTGTACCTTTAATACTTTAAAATGTTATTAAATATCATGAAATGTCATTAAGACACTGCAAGTATATCTTATACACTAAACGTGACTATCAAAATTCTTCAGAATGTCTTCTTGTTTTACATAATGGTTTTTTTTTTGCAACATGTTTCGGCCGCATATGGACTATCATGAGGCAGTTTTTAATTTGTGAGGAGACCACTGCACTGTCCACTTGTCTTTCATGCTCCCATGCACATCATTGTTTGTTGTATGTATATATATATATATATATATATTGTGACATGTTATATGTCATCCATCGCTGAGCAATGAAACAGCGGAAATTGCTGAGAACGTTGTGTAGGAATATCCATGGCAATGTGTGTGTGACATCACGCAACAGGGGAGTCCATGCAGTGACTGTTGCTAGGCAATCAGTGAACGTGTTTTCTGTGTGGTCAGGGCAGAAGCTACATAACAAGAGTATTCGTCAGATCTTTATGTTAGTGCTTTTGAATAGTTTTGTGATTTTTCATATGTAATTTCCTGTATAAGTAGAAGTGACCCATTTTGTTCTTTTCGTCTTTATTATCCAGGTTACCCATCTTTCGCTTAAGTTTGTTATATAGATGTGTGATGTCTTCCTTTCTATAGCCATTATTTAGTGTTATATTAATAATAGTATTTAATTCTTTGTTTTTAGCATTTTCCTCAAGGGGTAGTGTAAGAAGTCTGTGTATCCAATTTTATATGCTGGCAATTTTTGTTCTTTAGGGTGGCATGATTTATTATTTATTGTTATGTCTGTCGTTGTGGGTTTTCTGTATATTTCCATTTCTAATTGTCCGTGTCTATTAAATATATTTAAGTTCAGGTAAGCTAAATTTTTTAAACACTTCAAAAGTTTTTATACCAGGAAGGCTGCTGTGATTGTGAAAAGTTGAATATTGTGTACATTGTGTATTCCAGGCATTATATGTGTATGTAATTTAGCAATCAGAACACCTATTGTGATGGTGGTTTCTGAATAAGTATTGATGTTCCCTCTGAAGATGTTCTATAAGTGTGTGTGTCTCTTTCTCTCTCTCTCTCTCTCTCTCAAGTCTCAATTCTGAGACAGTAAAATATGGTCGCGAGTCCCAAGGGACTCCGACCCAAGAAAGACTGCGCTGGCAATGGCCACCAGCATATACAAAAGACAGACCCATCCTCTCGTCAGAGAAGGCACCCCACAGAAACAAGACCGTAACTGTCAAACGATAACAATTAATATCTGTTGGGGCTCGATACCAAGAATTACTGACCGACTGACCGTCAGTCGCAATGTAACTCTGACTCTGACTCTGACTCTGACTGTTGAGCCACTCCCGTGTGGAGGCGGGGTCGAATACCTCCACCATGACCCTGTGATTCATAGGAGGCGACAAAATGGGAAGTCTCAAATCTGAGACAGTTAACCTTTAAGTGCCGAAGTGCCCCATTTGTGCCAGTCATGAGTAAGGTCGTCATGGCCAAAGTGCCCCGTTTGTGCCAGTCAGGCATTTAAACTCCGCTAGTGGAAGCGCGCGCACGCCACTATTGGAAGCACATGCACAGTCCTAACTATTTATTTTTAAATGTAGTAATTACCAGACAGACTTGAGTAAAACCTTAATAGATGAATTAAATTGATACCTAAATTAACAACAGCAAATAAAAATATACGTATGAGTTACGCCAAAACTTATTCACGATCCAGTAATTTTATTGCAGATTCTGCAAATAGGTATGTTAAAAATATATTGTAAAATTCGATGTACATACCTTTTTTGTTGTTACCTGCTTGATGTATATATAGGCTGAAATTATACTACAGTATTCGATTTCACTACGAACGCACAGAAAACAGATCGCAATCAGTATCTTAGCCACGACGCAGCTCTCTGCTCATTTATATAGAAGGGGCAATAAACTTTTGCAGCTCTAACGGAAGGTCTTAGCACTGAAGAAGGGACCCCTCTAGATTTCTCTTGAATAGCCATGCTTTCATTCTTCTGTCCTTCAGTCAAAAGATTCGAAAATCCGAAGAGTGTAAGCAGGGCTAGCATAAGACCAAATGTTTTTATTGCTTCCATCTGTTTTATGACACCAGTGACTGCTAAAATTCGTCACGTGTTACAAACATAAATGAATTTATAATGCAGAACAACTCTGTGAAGAACTGGGAAACCATTTTTCAGTACGCATCAAAATTAAAACAAAAAATTGAAAATAGAGTATAACACTTTGTGTTAAAAATTTCAAATCTTCCGTTATAATATGCGACACTATGTTCTTTGCTGATAGAAACAAAGTTAATACCATCCATTTATCATAAAAATTGAGCAAGATACAGCATTTTTAAACACAACGCTTAAAATTGATTAAGCGCCTAATAGGAACGGAAATTTAAAGGCAGAGTAGCGACAGGTATTTAAACGCGCACCAGCAGCGGGCATTTAAATAAACTCCGGCCAGCACAAGCTTACCACTATTTCGAAGTCCGGCGTTTAAAGGTTAACTATTGTAACATGTTTCGTCACTGAAGACGCCGTTTGGATTGTTAATTGGTTTATTCAACAACCTACCAGTCTTGGCTACAATTAATTACAACACTGTTGCGGGTTTCACACTTTATCACCCTTTTCGCATTAATCAATTCACTCTGTTCTCAGTAGTCTACACGCATTCACAGTACGGGAGCTATATAAGTGTCACTGTATTACACACTCCCAATCACTTATCAGTTATCACACTGATTATCACACACGCATCTGGTTCTTCTTTCCACGACTGCTGCTATACTCCAACTCAACTGTAGGCTGCTGCCTTGAGAACTGTCTTTGGCAGTGGCTACACTTTAACTGACTCTGTAGGCAGTGTAGTGCTCTTATAAACCCTCAGCCGGACAACGGGAAAACAGTTATGTAATAGGCACCACTGTTGTCTGACACCGTGTTTGCCTGTTATGTAATGGGTACCGCTGTTATTACCATCGTCTCTCACAACCACTGTTTACCCGCTTTTTATTCCATTCGCTGTTGCCTGTTGCCCATGTCACAGCTGCATTGCGTGTCTCGTCACAGTAGGAAGCGGTGCCACGTAGCCCAGGGGGGGGCTACATCACCGTGGCCAGAGCTGCTACGTCACTGCTGGGGGAGGTAGGGGGTGTCCTCCATGGAACAACAAGTCACAATATGGTCGTGAGTCCCAAGGGACTCGGACCCGAGAAAGACCACGCTGGCAAGGGCCAGCAGCATATGCAAAAGACAGATCTGTCCTCTCGTCAGAGAGGGTGCCCCACAGAAACAAGACCGTAACTGTCAAACAGTAATAATTAATATCTGGGGGCTCGACACCAAGACTTACTGACTGACTGACCATCAGTCGCAATGTAACTTTGACTTTGAATTTGACTTGTTGAGCCGGGATTGAGTACAACTATTGAGTATGCAGCATGAGTATGATTTAGTAGCAGTTGAGAGTGGCTGAAGCACGCGAAGTGGAACCAGGACTACACGAGGTTCCCTGTGAGGATGTCAAATGTGATGTAGACTTCATGTGTGTGATGGTGCGTGCAACAGTGGGTTAGAAGTGATAGAGCTGTATTAGAGTGTAATTGAGAGAGTGCGTGTAACCGAGCTGTCAATAAATCCAACNGTATTAGTATGATTTTTATCATATGGTCTTTATATATATATATAATGATGAAGTTTCGTGTACTTGTGTTTTTGTATGTCGTTTTCTTCCTCTTTATTTGTTTTCTGTGTGGTCATCACATATACTAACCATACTCCTGCTTATAGTATATCTTTCTGGTGGCGTATATATTGCTACCTATCGCAAAGTTCATACACTGTTTGAAACACTGGGTTATGTGCCTCGATGTGTACATCATTCATATGTAAACTGTTCTTGTATACTTCGTAAATATATCTTTCTAGTGTATTTAAATGTCTGATCTTCTTTCAGACCTTATGATGTCCATAGTGTCCATTATTTTGCCATGTGTCCCATATTTAATATATGGTTTTAATAAGCAGACTTACTACAGTCACTTCTAATGGTTTGAATATGTTCCTTAATTAAATGTTTTTCCAGTTTGACCCATGTATTTCGGGGGGCAATCCAAGCCTTTCATTTCATATATGCCACTGTTGTGTTTTCTTTCAGTATGTTGCTGATTGTGTTTTTTGTACAAAAAGCTATTTAAAGTTGCGTGTCTTTGAATAACTTAGTTATTTGTCATACTTCTTTTCCACACTATGTAAAAATGACACATTTTGTTCCTTGATGGTGTTGATCTTCCTGTATGTTTTGTTTATGTAGCATTTGTTTTGTAATTAGATTTGTGCTGTGTCCGTTTTTTTTGTAGGATGTTTTTATAGTATTTTCTTCCATTTCTTTGATTTTCTAGTAATTACAGTACAATGACCGAAAAAAGAATACAATGACAGTATTCTTAATATAATATACAACAAAACAAAAATGTGCATGGGAGCACAAGTGGATAGTGCAGTAGTCTCCCGACAAATTAAAAATTGCCTGATGATGGCCCATATGCAGCCGAAATGTTGCAAAATTGGAAAAACAAAAGGACATTCTGAAGTATTTTGATAGTCACTTTTAGTGTATAAAGTATTAAAGTTACACTTTTAGTGAAGAAATATATATTTTATGTGTCTTTTATATCATTGTTGCATTATTGATGATGTTCTTGAATAATAAGAATGATACCTTAATGCAACAGAATGCTGTAATATAACATCTTAAAAGGCCAGTAGAATCTCCATTTTGTGACAGGAGGATTAAGCAAAGCACTTTGCACTGAATACAAAGAAGGTGGTGGTACTTATGAAACTGGAGCAAGGTGCTTCCACGAAACAACTAAGTGCAGAGTTTTGGATGAGAACATCTATCATGCATGGTTTAGAATAAGAACTCCAGAAATCTGGCTCAGGTCAAGTCCCAAGCTTACCTGGTAAGAGGTTTCGTACCTGTATCTGGAAACTTGGTAATTGTCATTTTGTAGAACAGCTGAAGAGTACTGTCTTCCTAATTATAATAAAGTAAGGTTGTAACATCACATGCAAATTCAGTCTTCGTTTGTTTGAAACTTAATGTTGTTCAAGCTAAAATTTGAATTAGTCTAGCCAGCCAGATCTGAAAATACACATATATATAGTTTATA